CCCTATGCTTGCCCTGCCAGCTCCACCACCTTCACCGCCGCTCCCAGCTCCGCCGTCTCCCCCACATCCCCCATCTGCCCCCTCGACCCTTCTCTCGCCGGAGCCCACCCACGAGTGCCATGCCAGGCGTATCAGCAGACGCGCAAAGATGGCTACCGACTCTGGCATCAAGGCCAGGCGCAGCGCAAGGCTGGCTGAGATCGAGCCGCCTGTCTACTCCTCAATGACTGCCAGGGCTATGTGCTCTAAGGCAAAGAAGCTGAACCTGGCTGCGGCGTCCAAGGATCTTTCTGACGCTCTGATCCACGCTCGTCTCTGCGACGAGTCTGGGCTCGTCGACGGCTCTGCTCACGGCCTCGCCTCGCCTGATGATCTTGCTGCTGTTGTTGCTGCCTGCGGCGCCTCGCCGGAGGTGGTTGCGGATATTGCTTCGGGCTCTGGTGACCTGGGGTCGCCATGATCTGCTCTCTACACTGTGGCCACGAGGTTGGCGGCCTATCATGGCCATGTATCCGGTGTTTAGCACCGCTCAGTAATTGCTATGTTAGAACGACTCAACCTGTTAGTGTGCTCATGCCTTCTTCTGTCAGTCTATCGTACTGTAACTTGACCCGATATGGTTGTCGATCGGGTCAATACCCCTATGTAAGGTGCCGCCTCAAGTTTCAACTATGAAAAACGCCTCCTACTCTATCGTCTCCTGGAATGTACGCTGATTAGGTGATAATGACAAATGTGCTAACGTGTTCTCTGAAATCAATCTCCTACGCCCATCTATAGCCCTTCTTCAAGAAACCAAGTTACAAAAACCAGACACAATCAAGCTTCGATCGATTTTACCACGATTCCTCGACTCTAACAATCACCTGGACGCAACGGGATCTGCGGGCGGCATTCTTTCGGCCACCAACTCTAGATGCTTCTCGCTCATCAACTGAACATAACCGCTTCACAACAACTTTAACACTATCATGTCTTGCATCACCTCACAACATCTTCGTTACAAACGTGTACGCACCTTCGCAACGAGACCTAAAGATGGCATTCCTTGACGAACTAAAACTAATTGAACCACCACATCATTCTCCCTGGCTCCTAATAGGAGACTTCAACATCACCAGATTCCCTTACAAACGCAGCAACAACAACTTCCGAAGATCGGAGGCCGACGCTTTTAACGATACAATTGATCAACTTGCTCTCTTAGAACTACCACTCCTTGACAAAGAATTCACATGGTCAAACAAAAGGCAGACTCCCACTCTAATCCGACTGGATATGGTTCTAATCAACCTCGCTTGGGATGCTATCTTCCCAAACTCACATCTAACCTCTCTCACTAGATTCATTTCTGATCACGTACCACTACTTGTCACAGTATCCACGTCTATCCCATCTTCCCGCCTTTTTTGGTTTGAACGATTCTGGGCTTCATTTTCAAAATGTGCAGATGTTGTACATGACTGTTGGGAGCCCATCGCTGCACATCGGGGGCCCAACATGGACCCTGCTGCCTCCCTAGCCTTATGCATTAAATCTACGCGAGCGGCCCTAAAATCTTGGGCCAAAACACTGAAGCCCATCCACCAACGAGAAACAAACTGCAAACTGGCCATCCAGGCCCTTGATTTAAACGAGGAAATCGCTCCACTCCTCCCGCTCGAACAAAAATTACGGCTCTCGCTCTCCACTCTGCTTCAACTGACTATCAAACAAAAAATCTCCTTCTGGAAACAAAGGGGGAAGGTCAGAATGGCCGTTGACGGCGACGAGAACACTAGATTCTTCCATGCTTCGGCCACCCAGCGATCGAGATCAAACAAAATCCCCATGCTCATTCACAAGAACACTGAAGTTTTTCTCCACGAACAAAAAGCTCACATTTTAAAAGATTTTTTCAACCAATTGATAGGAACCACTAAACATGCAACGTGGAATTTCAGTCTTCTGTAGCTATACCCCACAGCCCTCCCTCAGCTACGTGATCTAACTCTTCCCTTCTCCCACGACGAAATCCATCAAGCTTTTCTCTCCATGAACACCAATGCCAGCCCTGGACCAGACGGCTTCGGGCCCATCTTCTTCAGAAAATATTGGAATATCATCAAACCATCCATCCTACCATTCTTCGCTGCCTTCCAGGATCAAACCGGCTCTCTCGAACGCTTCAACCGGGCCTTCATGGTCCTTCTACCAAAAACTCAGGCGCCAACTGCTCCTGATGCGTTTAGGCCTATCTCCCTCCAAAACTGCACGCCAAAAGCAGTCGCCAAAATCCTCACAAATAGAGTTAAACCTCTCATACTGCTTCTCATCCATTACGATCAGACGGGCTTCCTTCATGGGCGTAACATTGCTGAAAACTTCATTTATGTTGAGGACATTCTCAGCACGTGCCACTCTCGCAAAGCTCCGACCATGGTTTTTAAACTGGACTTCAGGAAAGCATTTGATTCCATATGCTGGTTCTCCCTCATTCAAATTTTAAAAGCCCGCGGTTTCCCTTCCATCTTCTGCGCATGGGTCCAAAACATCCTATACACTGGAAAAACGACTATTCTTTTGAATGGAGTTCCGGGGCCATGGATTCAATGTAGATGTGGTCTTAGGCAAGGAGACCCATTCTCTCCGTACCTGTTCATCATCGTCGCTGATGTACTTCAAAGACTAATAGCCAAAGCCTTCCAATCTAACGTTCTCTGCCACCCGCTACGACCAAATGAACCACCAGTGACACTGCAATACGCGGACGATACCCTCATAATCGCTGCTGCTAGTGAGACAGCCACCTTGCTTCTCAAAAAAAACCTTCATGATTTCGCCCTTGCAACGGGGTTGGTAATCAACTTTCACAAAATAGCTCTCCTCACAATTGCTACAGACTCAGCCACACAAAACAACATTGCTGCTGCTATTGGATGCTCACCATCCTCCTTTCCGCTAGTCTACCTAGGCCTTCCACTATCCCCTACAAAATTACCACTGACGGCCTTCGACCCGATCATAGATAACTTTCGGAAATTCCTCTTCGGATGGGTGGCACGCCTCCTCTCACGGGGGGCCAGGCTCACCCTTCTGACTGCGGTCCTCGACTCCTTAACAATTTATTTTATGTCAGTCTTCAGGCTTCCTAAATCCATCTTAGCAAAACTTGACGCTATTCGGAGGGCCTTCTTCTGGTCTAACGAATCTACGTGCACTGGGGCAAGCTGCCTTGTCGCGTGGAAAAACGTTTGCAAACCTAAAGTTTCTGGTGGTCTAGGCATTAAAAATCTTGAGATTCAAAACCGCTGCTTGCTCATGAAATTCTCCTCCAAAATTCTGCAACACCCAAATATACCTTGGACCCAGTGGTACAATCACCAGCATCCTCTTGGCATAGGTGCAAAAACTACACGTCCTTCCTTTTTATGGAAGGTTATCAACAGCAACTTGCCACTGCTAATTGAGCACTCCTTCGTCATCACATACAATGGCCTCTCCACTTTCTTCTGGCTGGATAAATGGCTTCTACAGTCACCACTACAAAAAGTTTTCCCAAACCTCTTCTCGCACTCCATTGATGACAAGGTTTTAGTGGCTACTGTGTGGCAAACCAGCTTATTGACGAACCTGGGGAACCGTCTGTCTAATGCTGCTGCTCGCGAGCTGGATTGTGTGCTGTTGTTGTTGCAGGACTTCCAACAGGTGGACCAACCGGACGAACGGTCTCTCACCCATGGCCTGCCATTCTCTGCCAAGAATGCTTACTCCTCTATTGTTGCTGAAGACTACACCGACCCACACCATGATCTTGTTTGGGCTTCAAAAGTCCCGATCAAGGTCAAGATCTTCGCATGGCTTCTCCTCCGCGATCGGCTGAACACGAAGGGCAACTTGTTTCGCAAGCACATTGCCCAGTCTGCAGCATGCCCTCGCTGTCAGGACCCTCATGAAGACGCGCTCCACCTCATCTCCAAATGTTCTTATGCTACACAAGTCTGGTCCTCCTTGGGACTGCAGGCTCCAAACTCTCTTGATGATCTGCTCCAACACCCAACGCTTCATGGCCTCAACCCCAACATTTGGTCGTCGGTAGCTCTGTCCATCTCTTGGAAAATATGGGACTCAAGAAATGCTCTAGTATTCAGGAACGACGATCACTCCCTCGGGACCACGCTACGCAACATTGTTGCTGACTTCTCTTTATGGGTTTTTCGGTTCAAAAAGAAGGAAGACAATTTATTCGCTAAGCAATGGCTTCACTTCTTATCCTCAGCTATTCCCTAAAAAGCTGACGTTGTAACAATCCTATGTTGTAATTCTCGAATTCCCCTTTTGAGTGGCAATATAT